GCTCTATGTAGGCTTGTCCTTTGTAAAGTGCTGTGAGACAGCATCTGTGATTGACTGACACACACGTCAATTTGCACAGCGTGAAACAAAGCATCACTAGGCCACTTTGCATATTTGTGGCTCCAATAACAATGAGCAGTGACTGGAAATGTCGATCCTCAAAACCCAGAAATCATGAGCGCGCGCCATGAACCAAGAGGTCCTAGGTTTGATAAGAAAACTGCCACATCAAATCTCCATGCTTACTTGAAAAATGTGCGTGAGGAAAGTGGGTGAGTAATGGCCTCCACTTTCTTAATGACACATCTCAAGGCGCTTCTGAGCAAGGCACTTAACCCCTCAATGCAGGTCTGTGTTTATACTGGGCACCGTACAGGTGTACAGTCTTTCCATTAATAGGGTACACACTGGGAAACAAGAACTTCTAGATTCTGAAGAAGTGTTGCCGGGCCACTGTTAGAGCAAATACTGACATTTTGAGAAATATACTTTTTACTTTCTTGGCGAGAGTTAGACGAAATGATCAGTACCACTGATCGGTCTATTAAATATAAGGCTATAAAGACTGGAAACAGAAGGAAACAGCTATCCCAACGGTAACAAAATCCACCTACCAGCACATCTAAAGCTCACTATTGAACATGTTATATCTTGGATGTCCAAGTATAAAAATGAAAGGTTGTGGTTTTACGGGGGGTTATGTGGCGCACTACTTCTTGGCTGGGAGCAGGGACTTCCACACCACACCACTTCCTTTGTTTATAGATTAACCAACCATATGGTATTAATTAGTGAGCTTTAGGGGTGCTGGTAGGTAGATATTGTTACCTTTGGACAGAGCCAGACTAGTTGTTTCCTCTTGTTACCAGTCTTTGTGCTAAGCTAAGCTAACTAGCTTAGCTTAGCACTCTTGTGTAAGTGTTAGTGAACTGACAGCTAGAAAATCTTTTCAACCAAAATTACATTTATTGTCATGCTGCTTTCCCAATCATTTGATGGTAGAAGAACCATATCAATGTTCATTTTATGACAGTTTTAAGGTGCAGAAATGTGAAGCAAGGTTGACTTTGCCTGGAATCATAAAAGAAAGCTGTGAGATGTGAAAATGCACCTGAATCAATACAGCTGAATCATCCAAGAAGCTGTAGACTCACCCTGTTCCAGTTTTCTGTGTTGTCCCCGGTGGAAAATATTTACCCAGGACCCTATAGATGTACTTCTTCACCATCTCCATGTATAAAATGTTGAATTTTAGTGATTGACATTATAATTAATTAATACATTTCTGGCAAAAAAAATCCTTATAGTCATATCTCACCATAAGTTGACAATTAGTTAATATAAAATAAATTCCTTACAGACACATGGACCAATGGTGCAGGATTTGTCCGAGTGGCCACAGCACTCAGTGAGTCTTCCTCCATCCAAAGCGATGCCCTGTACCATCTGACCAAGGACATGTCTGGGATGGGACTGGAACCCATGTCCTACAGCATCCTGGAGTCTAAACCTTGTAAAGAAGAACCAAGGGCTGAGGAATCACAAAGTTTGTTACAGGTGAGAAAGTGTAAGTGTGTTTTTTGGGAACCAGTTTAAAGTTAAGACCTTTTAGGTTTACACTGTTGCTATCTGCTCATACTCACAGAGAGCTACTAGTAAAATTCAGCTCATAATGTAATATTTCCTGCATGGGTAATGTATTTCATAGAATTGCATCACTTTATGAGTTAGCATAAACAGAAAAAATCTCTTCAGATATTATAATCTGTAATGATGGTGGAGGGAGCTGCTCTCCAAAATTTGTCTTTCAAGATGTTTATTTGCGTAGTCTTTCAAAATAAAAGGTGTAACTGAGATATTTGGATGGTTTAATCCAACCTGACATTGAGTAAAAAGTGTGAACATGTGAGTCTGAGGTTAATGTTAGTTTTGGGGAAAGACTTCTAATGATAAATCCTGGGGTGTATGTGTGTGTGTGTGTGTGTGTATATTGTTGAGTGAGGTGTTTTGGGTAGGCTGCATGTTGATGATTTTTACTAAAATGCACACTGTAAAGAAGAAATATAATCCTGGGACAAAAGCAATGCTTCTATTACATTTTATATAGTTGCTGCTGTGATTATGGTGTAGCGCTTAGCTCTCAATTTTGAAATATGAGTAATACATTTTAAGAAGAGACATATTTTTTATTCAAAAATATCGAAAACACTCCAGGGAAGGGGGAAGTACACATGATCGCAAACCAACTTGTGACAGAAGGTTGAAATTTGAGATGTAGGGGAGAGCAGGATGATTTGAGCCGGTGAGTCACCCCTTATTGTTTCTAGGTAACCATAGACAAAATTGCTCATGTGACCAAACTTTTTGTCCATTTTACCCACCCTGTGATGGAGAGAGGGCTGTGGAATGAGTGGTAAGCATATTAAAGTTTAGAAAACGGGTTTTTTTATCGTGAGTTGTTACGTTCAAAGAGTCATGATTCTTGTGTCTGAACAATTACAGACAAGTTTGAAAAGAATCTCACATGTATTAGTGATTTAGGAGGTTAGAATATGAGGCTACACTGTTAGCATGGCGTTAGCTCTAAACTGCTGGATGATGCAGGTTAGTTAAAATGGCAGAGGTGAGGTAGCTAATTTGAGCCAAAAGGCCTGGCCAGTTATGATCATTATTAAAGTAGGATTTTACTGTAATTCTACATTGCATTCTTATTTTTTATCAGAGAAATTATGTGACATTTTGAATTTTAGACCAGAAACAATCATGTCCCTCTTCTATAAAAAGAAGACATAAAGGGCTACAGCCCCTCTTGTGGATTTGGACAGAGCAGTGGGAGAGGCACAGAATGGAAAGTCCACACGTCAGGTGGCAAAGGACATGAAGATTGACAGGATGACTTTGAAGTGATACACTGATATAAAACAACTAGGAGAAGTAAAAATAACTGGATATAAGAGGACAAGACATGCCAATCAAGTTTTCGATGAATGGAGATTTACAGATTAACAGCCATTTTACACAAAGTTGTGTAAAATGGCTTCAACTCCTATTGTGGATTTGGACAGAGCAGTGGGAGAGGTACAGAATGGGAAGCATAAGTCAAGTGGCAAGGGACATGAAGACAGGATGACTTTTAAGTGATACTGATATGAAACAACTAGGAGAAGTAAAAAGAACAGGGTATAAGAGAACAGGACATGTTAATCGAGATATAAGGTGTTAATTAGTGAGCTTTGGAGGTGCTGTTCAAGATAAATGTTAGTTTCAGGAAAAGACTTGAGTTGAGGATTCCGACTGATATTAAACATAGCTTAATGATAAAGCCTGGGGTTAGTTGTGCCTCAGAAGGTGTGTGTGTGTGTGTGTGTGTGTGTGTGTGTGTGTGTGTGTGTGTGTGTGTCAGTGAGTGAGGTGTCTGAAGTCTACTGGGTAGGCTGTTGAATGATTTTTTACTAAAATGCACACTGTGCGGAAGACAGCAATATTATCCTGGGACAAATGCAATGCTTTTAATACATTTTACACAAAGTTGCTTCTGTGATTATGGTGTAGCTATTAGAAACACACAGGACTCTATTCAAATTACATCAGTGAGCTATCAAAGCAACCAAGGCTGCTCCCTCTCTCCATGCTGCAAAAAGTATCCATCTAAATAAATTAAAAGAATTTCAAAATAAGAGCAATTTCAAGAAGAGACATATTTTGTATTAAAAATTAAATGTAAAAAACACTCTCAGAAAGGGGAAGGGGAGTTCCAAGAATGGCTGCAAATCAACTTGTGAAAGAAGGGTGAAAATTGAGACGTAGGGGAGAGTAATTTGCGCCTGTGGGGAAGCTGAGTCACCCCTTGTTTCTAGGTAACCATAGACAAAATTGGTCATGTGACCACACATTTTTGAAGAGTGGAAAGCACATTTAAGTTTAAAAACAGTTTTTTGCCATTCTAAATGATTTTTGTTATGTTCAAGGAGTCATGATTCTTGTGTCCGAGCGACTAGAGAAAAGTTTTTTAAAAATCTCACACGTAGACTATTAGTGATTTAGGAAGTTACAATATGAGGCTATACTGTTAGCATCACATTAGCTCTAAACTGCTGGATGATACAGGTTTGTTAAAATGGCAGGGGTGAGGTAGCCAATTTGAGCCAAAAGGCCTGGCCACTAATTTTAAAGTAGTATTTTACTGTAATTCTTCATTTTAGCACTGAAATGGCTTCAACTCCTATTGTGGATTTGGACAGAGCAGTGGGAGAGGTACAGAATGGGAAGCATAAGTCAAGTGGCAAGGGACATGAAGATCAACAGGATGACTTTTAAGTGATACTGATATGAAACAACTAGGAGAAGTAAAAAGAACAGGGTATAAGAGAACAGGACATGTTAATCGAGATATAAGGTGTTAATTAGTGAGCTTTGGAGGTGCTGTTCAAGATAAATGTTAGTTTCAGGAAAAGACTTGAGTTGAGGATTCCGACTGATATTAAACATAGCTTAATGATAAAGCCTGGGGTTAGTTGTGCCTCAGAAGGTGTGTGTGTGTGTGTGTGTGTGTGTGTGTGTCAGTGAGTGAGGTGTCTGAAGTCTACTGGGTAGGCTGTTGAATGATTTGTTACTAAAATGCACACTGTGTGGAAGACAGCAATATTATCCTGGGACAGAAGCAATGCTTTTAATACATTTTACATGTTCACAATACATTTTGTGTCACACACACTGTGATTATGGGCTATTGGGAACACACAGGTCTCTCTTCAAGTTACATCAGTGAGCAGTCTAAGCAACCAGAGCTGCTCCCTTTCTCCACACTGCAAAATGTATCTATCTAAACCTGTCATTCTCGAAATAAAAACAATTTTCTAGTCTATAGGCCTATATGAAAAAACTCCCAGGAAGGGGTAAATCATTTCACGATTTATTCCAAATCAACTTGTAAAAGAAGGTGACATTTGACACGTAGTGTATTTCAGAAGTAGACACGACTTCTAAAATCAGTTAAAACCACGCAAAAAAGAATTTGGCAGAAATGTGATTTCTTTAATTGAAACACATTTTGTGACTCACCATCAAGACTAAACAACATATTGAAGACGGACATTTTTTACAGTGTGGCACGCTCAGCGCGCCGGCGGTGCGCAGGCAGCCTTCAGACCACAGTTGGGTAGATGGGTATCACCAGCATGAGACCAGGCTGCTGAGTCTACATGCGCAGCATCTTAAATCTGACAGAGCTTTCTTTACCAAAACAATGTGGGGCAGATGAGCCGTGGACAAACTGGAGTGACCTCGGGTGTCATTTGTTGATAATGGGGATGAAGGTGGTGATGATGAATCCGACTGTTTTTTTCTGCGGAAACCGCCAACTTTCACTCCTTCTCTCCTTCTACTTCTCTGTGGGTCTGTAAAGCGCAACAGCATGCAGGTCTCCCCGGGTGAAGACAAGATCCCCGTAAGTACATCCCCAGCCATCTGCCGCCACTCTATTGCTTTTCTTGTCTTTGCCTTGAGGTTATTTCGCTACACCTGTGACCAGTCTCCGTTGACATATTTTTTGACGACCCACTGTAATAGTTTTCATAGTCAGTCTTCATTTGGCGACACTGTAACTCCGCGAGGCTGTTTGCAGTTACCTCACTAGAAACCGCTGCTCAAGAAGTGATGTCTGTAACTACTACCTTTGCACAGGAGACTATTTGATACCACGCTAAAGTACACAGAAGACAAGACAACGTAAGATACCGTGAAGACCCTTATTAACTTTAATTATATTATTATTATTATTATTATTATATTATTATTATTATTATTAAGTAAATTGTTTACCATGTTGACGTTTTATATGGTATCAGCAAACACAGGATGTTCTTTCAAGGCTTCTACGACCCTCTGGGAATGTCCCCCAGAGGTTTTGTTAAGCCTCCAGGAACAGAGCACCTGGTAACCTCCTTGAAACAAGCTACGCTAAACCAAATGGGATTCCTCCCAGTACACTTTCCTTTATATAAAAATAAAGTTTCAACAAATTGAAGCCCTAAGGGAAAGTTTCACCTGTGAGAAGGTAGAAGCCATTGTGTGTCCTGTGAGTCTCAGCTGGTGAAAATTTACTAAACATCCAATGGATATTATTATTTTACTTGACAGTACTTTACAGTAGACTGCTGCTATGTTTCCAAATGCAATTTACAGTGAATTGAGTTAAATTGATTATAGTATAGGTACTAAAAGTGACAAATTCTCATATTCATAACCTGAGAATGTTTTCAACATAATTTGCTTATGAAACAGTGTATGTAAAGAATGCACACCTCTGAAAACATTTATGTGATCTAATTTATTCAGTTCTGAGAGAAATTGCTCTCTATCTTTAAGTAGTACTTATTTGTTCATTCTGGACATTTTTGAGGGCACTATATAGGGCACGAGTTCCACACTGAGAATTCAGACATTCAAATTAAATATCAGAAATAAACATAGTTATGGCTCGGTTATGGACGCATCCCATGTAAAGAAAAAAAAAATGATGAAAGGTGTAATTGTTCTACCCAAGAAGGAAGCAAGGAAGATGTCAATCGAGCACAATCTGTGCACACCCACACGGCCATTACAAGAAGTCCAATCAGTCTAGATACATGAAAACACCAGTGTGGGAGGACCTATTAGTCCTAAGGGATTTTAAATATTTTAACTAATTTGGCACTGGAGCCAACAAAGCATGTGGCCATATTTCAATGTCATCCAGATACAAACTTACATTGACAGTCAGGAACGGTAAGCAGTCACCTAAGCTGCAGTTTGAAATTCTGAAATCAGAGTTGAACATTTGCCCACAATTGTTAGCTATTTGGCTAGTGGGAAATTGTGAGGCATTTCAAAATTGTACATGCAAAAACAAAGGCCTTGAGAATCCTTCAACTATAACACTATAAAGATCATTGATGTTTTTGTGTCATGTGCATAAACTGGACTTAAAGTTGTGACTGTTTCAAACGTAGTCAATTACATATCTAAGAAACATTTTGTCCCAACATCATTAGCCGATAACCAATATCTTTACAATAATAATGTATCAAATGACAATGTGAAAGCAATGTGACGCCCTTAGCTTTTAAAATACAGGACTTGAACTGGTCATTCCAACTTTGTTTAAATTTGCAGGTGTATTTAGATTTATTAGGTGGAACGGTGTCATGCCCTGACATTTTGACAAAAGCCCGTATTCTTGCTTAGAGAGCAGCTGCGCACACGCCCCTTGGATCGGGTTGTGGGTTGACAGGTTGCCGTGACAGATGGGTTGAAAATGTACATAGTATGCGGATTGTGTTTCATAGGTGATCTGGCCACGTGAGTGACGTCAGACAAACAAGCAAAACTTGATCCGTAAGTGTACTGTTTGGATGTTCTCAGCCACACATGGCAGCTGTTTAAAGCTCTAAAAATGAACCGTACACCTGCTCATCACTAAACAGCAGAAAGACACATTTGGCGTCTTGCTGGTGAACATAGTGGGGCATTTAGCAGCTAATGAGCCAAATATTCCCCCAAGGAGTTGGTAGAGACCAATAACAGAGCTAAAAGATTGAATATTTGACTTAATGTTGCCAGTTGGCCTGAAACATAAACGCTAATGTTGCTCTGTAACAACTGGACGTATACATGCAACTGTTTGCTAACAAGTTCACCTTATTGACATTAAAGGCAATGATATGTCAATGATGTTCATGACTTGTGCCCGCTGCCCCTAAGTGGCCGGTTATTGCAGGTTTTAAGCATGTCGGAGATATTTTTCATACATGTGTAAAAAAAAATATATTCTGAAGCATACATACAGTCAACTCCACTAGTATTTATTCTGTTTTAGCAAGACCTAACCAACAGCATTTCAGACCAAAATATGTTTAAAAAAATGTACATGCTATTTTCTATTCTGTGGGAAACTATAGCTTTTAAAGTTTTAACAAAATAAAAATATAAGACAGCTTAGCTTAGCTATATTGCATAGGTTCTTCCTACATTAAAAGGGTCATCCCATTATTAGCGAATTAGTCAATGGGGTTTTGGACTTATTGGCTTATAATTAGTTGTCATGCAAAAGCCCAGAAGACGTGTTGTCTTCACTGTCACTGTTCATCTGGTTTTGAGCAGGAGTACATTCATTAGGCTATAGTTGCAGAAAAAAGAGACGCACATTTGGCCAAAGTTATTTATAGTTGATTTATTGGTCTTATTCCATTTAGTCATATCACACACACAGTGATAAAGGAATAGAGGAGAGAAGAAAATAGATGCACAACACCACGTTTTAGAAACCTGTCCTGCTGATAAGTAAGAAACCAGCTTCTAGGAAGATATAAAAAAAAATCTCCCATCATGCCCAGAGCCTATAGAGTGTTCCCTCTCGTGCCCTCCATGTTTAGTCTCCCTCTCTACCTTCCCACTGTCTAAATAAAGAATAAAACTGCCAAAGGTGAGCTCACTGCCCACTCTGCTGCTGGAGGTTCTCACTTCAGTGTTTTTGAGAACCTGCCAAAAGCCACTTCTGCTTGTGTGTGCTGACAGTGCAGTAGATGTTTAAGTTCATTCAAACAGTTATTACATAACTCTGCTGCTTAAAGGTTTTGTGGATGCTGTCTTTTGCATTTGTCAATTTATTATTAAATTGCTTGTGATACCTTGCTGTGATTGAGCTTGATATGAGATGACTGGTTTCCTCTTTCTCACAGCAGTTCCAATGTTTAGCGCTACTGTTGAGTACTTACAGTATTTTGCACTCCCTTTTGATTTCTCCCTACAGGTCGTGGGTTCAGCTTCAAGCCCTCAGGGCGGCAGAGAAGGCCTTTACTTCTCTGATGGCCGACGAAAGGTTGACTATGTTTTAGTCTTCCATCAACGACGGCCCAGCTCCATACGATCTCTTGCCAGCGCCTCAGTTTCACATGACAGGTTATCCATTGTTTCCAATGGCAACTTTCCTTCAGTGGGCACAGATCCGGCAGTAGGAAGAGGAGTGGCATAGCGGGAGGGCAGCCTGCGAGTGTCGGTGAGGTGTTCATGGAGCTTGGAGGTCCAGCAGGGAATGAGCCTGCTGACCATGAGATACATCTAATCAGACAGGAATTTGAAGCCAACTTGTTGGAGGCCGGCCTGGAGATAGAGAGAGACAGAGAGGTGAGTGTGTATGTATGGCTACGCTAATGTTCATGTTCTCCCCTTCCTCTCTTCTCCAAGGCACAGTATTGTCACTTACAATTGCTTATTTGTTACTTCCTATTGTTATATAATTATGTGGTAACGCAGTTGTGAGCAAGCGGAAATGATGCAAACGCGGAAGTCCCTTAAACCTGCATCCTATCGAACGGCCAGCAGGGGCGACTCTTCTGGCTGTCCGGTTCCATTAGAAATAATGGTAAAATTAACCTACTTCTCAGCTGAACCAAAATTGCAGTTGTGAAACCTCCCACGGGCCACCAAACAGACAAAATTTGGTCTGACGAAAAGAGGTAGTTTCGGTCCGGATCAAACTGAACCATGGTTCGGTTCGTTTTTAGTGTGAAAGCATTTTTTGGATGGTTCGGACTTTCAGACCATTTACAGGAAGTTCAGCATTTGCCATATAAACCGGAAACAAACAAATGCACGGAGAAATGAGGACACATTATAAATCTCCCGGGACAGCTCACTGTCCTGTCAGCGACGTTATAATGTTCGCACAACAAGGACGTTTAATTGCGACTAGCCTTCAGTATAGTTGGTGCTACAGGTAGTAATGCTATATAATAATAATATAGTGGCAAATATGCATGTTAATTTTTTATTCATTCATTCTTGTCAAAGACACCCACTGAACTGTTTAATAAACCAATCAATGTCAAGTATAGGGAAACGCAGCCCACATAGATGATGTATAGTCCTTTAGTGCGGTCGCAGAATTGCAGTGTGAAACCAAACCAAACCGTATGTATCAAAACATGAACTTTGGTTCGGACCATGGTGCGGACTTTCAGGTGTGAAAGTTCCCCTGTTGTGAAAGCCTTATGTTCGCTAGACAAAATTGTCAGCCCTGTGCCACACACGGCCGTTAGCTCCACCGCCTCGTCCAAAGTCCACAAACCAACGGGTGACGTTACGATGTCCACTTTTACATACAGTCTATGGTTTGTGAATGATGATTAGGGTGAAACTCTTCCTTGTTGGTGGATTCAAAGTGGAAAACTCACAACCAGCAACAATTTAATACAAGTCAAATTGTCACTATCACGCTGCTCCCCACGTTTGTCTTCCTGACAGTTTTTCAGACCAGATGTATAAAAAAAGTTTAAATTAAAGTGCTGCTGGTCAGCCTCACTAAAATGTCCATAAACACACATACCAGAAAAAGATTTAAGTAGCCCTTAAAACAGCCCTTGCTGCACTGGCAATGTTTTGGCTTCAGGCAGGCCCCAACAGTCAACTAAAAGAGACTATGAACAGAATGTGTTGAATGAGAATAAAATATGCAATAAAAATAAGCAATATAAACACAAGCTACTAGTGGAGAGTTAAACCGGCTGTGATATATTTGCGGGCAGCATAACAAGTTGTTAACAGAACAGCGACAGATATGGCATGTTAAGAAACAATATAGACAACAGACCGCAACAGACACGGAGCAACATTAGCATTCATTTGAAGTTGTGTGTCTTCCCATCTGATGAATCTAAGTCTAATATTCACTTTCCTTTTAGACCTTTTAGATCTCCAGCAACTCCATGTTACTCAATATTCACCTGCTAATTGCTAACTTTGGCTGGTAGTGTGTTTTTTTGCTCAGAACAGCTGTGTGTTGCTGCTGGAAACAATGCTGATGAGAGTGGTGAGAGTTAAAATATTAAAGTTGCAAGCCAAAAAACAAAACAAAACAGCGAGCTGAAAGATGCTACAGTGCTCCATAGATCTGAGGGGAACTGCAGTGTCAGGTGATAATCCTCTGTGGGTTCATCCCTCTGAGAGACAATTTTCACATTACAATTATTTTTTTCCATTGTTAATTGAAAACACTGATTGGTGCAGCTTTAAGTAAACTATAGAGCATTAGTAGGTTATGGTCAAAAATTTACAAAACGACTAGCATGTTCCTTTGCTGGTGTGTTGGTAGAAGACTTTGAACTGTTTGTTATTTGGAAAAAGCATTGTTATTTAATCAAGATAAACAATCATGGGTCCTCTTTTTATTCACAATATCTGGAGAAGTAATCAAGATTATAATTTCAGACATTTAGCAGCAGCCTGTGGTTTAATACACACAGTAAATGCTATAGTTTTAGTGATTTTTTAAAGATAAATGTTAACACAGGATCTGATGTAACTGTCTTGAGCTATTTAAGGTGAGCGCCTACATAGGAACCTGGCTCAGATGGAAGAGAAAAGAGGTGGGTGAGAGTGTGTTGTTAAGGATGTATTACGAGTATCTATTACACCAGCAGGAACCAAGTTTCATGAGGAGGTTTCCACTAAACTCTGAAATGTATCTTTTGTACCATGTTGTTCTGCCTTCCTTAATTACCTTGCAGCTGCTGGACAAAATGACAGAAACAAAGCATAAAAAAAGTGAGTAGGTCACAACCGAGAGGAGTCATTACGTTAATGCTGATTATCATTATGTGTGTCTAGGGATGCACCAAATTTCGGCCACCGAAATTAATTGGCCGAAAATAGCAATAAAAGCAGTTTCCGTGCTCGGCCTCAATCTAAAGACCCAATCAATTTTACCGAACAATGTAACAATACAGTGTGGAAGCATTTTCAAGTGTCTGAGAAAGACGCAAAAATTGCCGTTTGCAGACACTGTTCTGCTGAATTGTCTCCTAGCACATCCACTTCATCTGTGGCTGACTTCTTAGAAAAGGCAACGATCATTTCTGAGAAGTCGCTTAAGCTAGCCGCACCTAAATTTGGAGGGCACACGTATTCAAGCCTTTATGGTAATGTTGGATCCACTGAAACAGACCAGAGCGAGCTGACAGGCAGGTTAGCGACTTTATCCTGTCAGTTTCTCTCTTTCCAAAGACAAGTGTTGCAGTATGAGAGTCCTACCTGAAGAGAGGCTGCGAAGTCTTCACGTTACGCGATATGAGAACCACATACAACATTATTTTTCAAATTGGGTCGGACTTGATGAAATTAGCGCGAGGATACACATGTGACAACGTCCGGTTTTCAAAATAAGGTGTTTATAAACTATGGAAATAAGATTAATTGGATTATTTTCACAGAAAGTAAAACATTTACAGTGTACATTAAAAGTAAATGGACACATGTAATTTACTTTACCGGACCCCCTTGGGCCTCGGACTCACCCACTAGTCACTCCAAATCCTGTGGGAAACACTGAGTAAAAAGCACATTTTTACTATTTAATTTATGCAATGGTAAAAAATTGTCAAAGTAAATGGGAAAAAATGGGAAAAACCTCAATATTCAGTATTCAGGAACGTTTTTCATTATATTCGGTTTCGGCTACAGCCAAGAATTTTCATTTGGGTGCATCCCTAGTGTCAGCTTTAGAGCAAACAAAGTGCACACACAATCATAGCCAAAGGCATGATAATATATCCACCTGTGTCATTAAGCTCAACAAAATATTTCCAACTGTACTGTGTGTCAGTAGAATCTCATACACAGGTAGGACTGCTCAGTCAAAGCATTTAAACAAATATTTTTTAATAATATCATAAATATGATATATTTTTCTGTGGCCTTACACAGTATCAAACTCTAATTTCTGTGTCACTGTGTTCACAGTGGACACAATAGCTCCATTTCATACTCAGTCATCAAATTCTGATCGTCAGATCAGTCCCAAACCCTAACAATAGGCAGTAATCTTGCTATGTGATAACAGTTGACTCAAATGACCAAAAAATTGACTTTTTTAACTTTAGCGCTACCTGCTAGTATATCATGGTGAGCACAAGGTTTAAATATCATAAATTTAAAACAAAGTGTTTATTGTCACACACCTTGATACCCCTCTGCTACATTGTGAGAGCTTTTAAAGGCCTCCTGAGCCCTTTGGGCTTCTGGGGTAAGGGGTCGAGCTTTAAAGAAATAATGTAGTTTTGCCACTTGAGCAAACCTGAAACAATGGGAAAAAAATCCAGTCTGATGAGCCATTCAGCTTTGTTTCTTCTTCCAGAAACACACACAAAGGAAACCTTTAACCTATATTCACTGCCAACAGCGTGGATCTGTATTGATCCGATGGCAAATATAAAGACTGGTGATTGTTCTACATGGTCAAATATATATATATTGAACATGCTATTTTTCAGGACCAAATTAGACCATTAGATGTGGTGGAGCTCAGAGCATTTGAACTGAACCCTGGACTGAGATATGAATAACTTCTCATTAAATATAATTACTTCCTCTCATGTAATGGAAATACAGTTGTCTCAGTTATGAGCTTTGTTCATGTTCTTTTGAAAATTCACATTCATTGTATTGATTCTCTAAACTCTTTCATAAATGACCTATGCTTCTATATGGCCGTTTACTGGATGTGTCTCACCTTTACTGCTGTTTCCCAATCGTGATTGAGTTACTTGCAAACTAAACTTTATTTTCACGTGATGTTTCTGTTGTTTTGTGTCTGCCTGTAAATACGACTTCTGTTGATTTTGGAGTCGGAATACACACGAGGGCCTGATGGTTTGATGTGAGCTGCCAAACTTTAATTCTATTCGCTGTAGCCAACACAGCTGCTGTGCTGACCTCTTTGTATCGATTTACTAATTTAGCCTGAAATGGGTAATTTTGTTTTGACATGTACAAATCGCTTCGCTGTGATTGTGTGTTACGTAGCAACCATTACTTGTGTGTGAGAGTCCTGTTTTTGGGTGGTGCGTGCACTGGTGTGTGTGTGTGTGTGTGTGTGTGTGTGTGTGTGTGTAGTAGGCGCTTGGCAGAACACAGTCTGTGTGCTCTGTGTTCTTGAAGTGGGGCTGCAGGCTCACTGCCACTGGTATACAAATGTAAAGTTGCACTCGTTACTAAGTAAACTACTGCTGCACTTTATTATAACTTAATTATCTGCACTTTAAATGCAGGATAGGGACTTTTACAGTGTCATTCCAATGTACAATATTAGAGTTTGTGTGATACCAATTTAGCTAAATACACGTGACTGT